ATGGTGTGACTTATTTTTAGAGCTTATGCAGCGCGGCTGTGGAGAATAAGAGTGATGAGAAAAAAGATGAGCCTGAAAATCTCTTTCAAGTTTCTTTCAAAGAGAAACATCCCAAACTTTTAAAGAATGGTTCCTTTAACCTTCCAGGAAAAGCAACACAAAAGCCCGGCTCTGACTGTCAAAAGCATTTCACATCTTTCAAATGAAATTCTTTATTTTTGTTGAATGAAGTTGGTTCCGTCTGAAGTGTCCTTGGTCGTGCCCACGCACGTGAGAAATAATCAGAGGACGTCCTCCGCCATAAAAACGAGTTAATTCAGGTCGGCTGTAAATCTCGGAGGTGGCTGTTGATACTAACACAACAGTTCCATTAAAGTGGAATTAAGCACCACAAAGACGGTGCCTCAGCAGAAATAAACAGCGAGGCCTGTCACATTAACATAAAGCATGGGCCTCAGAAATTATTAGCCTCCCTAATCTCAGGAACACTCAGACGCAGCATTGCACTGTTCAAATGACCTGTCCACTGTGATGCATGGCTGTTTTTCCTCCACCTGCAGAAGAACGCCAGCTTCTCCTGCCCTCCTACCCCCCCTCCTCATTTCCTGCTCCCAAGCTTTTTTACCTCCTGCTCCAGATTTATGCAAGGCGAAAACTGTGAGGTGCAAAGCTCACACAAACAACGGCCGAGGCAGACGGGCAAGGTGAAGGTCAATAAACACATTATCCTCCACTTATCAACAGTTTATTAGCACAGCTCATTTTCCCCTTTGCATTACACAGAGACGACCAGGTCGCATCAGCTCCTCTGTTTCCACACTCGCCTATCTGCACCCACCAGACAGAGCTGAGAATGATACGATGACATTCAGCTTCAACTTTTGCATCTTTACAAGATGCCTTGCTACATCTAAAAAAAATACCTCCTATCACAAACATCATGGGGCCAGAATTGATTAATCATGGATACACACTTAAAGGAACAATGTGCAACTTTTTGATCCAGTCCTTGAGCACCAGCATGAAACCAAAACAAACTGCTGTTTGGCGACACCTCCGCTGTACTGAAGCCTCCGCTCTCCTACAGTGACACACCTCCAACCCCTCTCCACTCACGTTCAAGAAAGGAGTTATCAAATTGGAACGCACCATAATTAAGCATTAAGCACTCAGCTCCAGTGGCGGACAAAATTGTCCTGGTCTCGAGCTGCATTGTCGTGTTAGCAGGCTAATGGTAGCGCTCTTTAGTTAGCAGACATTGGTCAACGTTTTTACAGGAATACAACTGCTACAGATGACGGATTTTCTTGGTTCCCTTTTCAGATCACATGAGTTTTTAATTTCAGTCAAGACCCAAAGACAATTTCAAGCAAAATCTTAAGAAGTGTATCTGGAGAAAATTACCAACCCTGCCTGTAAGCACAGAGCACTAAGTGAAAGCAGCAGACAGAATTGTCCATGTCTCGAAATGCATTGTTGTGTTAGCATGCTAATGTTAGCGCTCTTTAGTTAGCTCGTAGCTTCACACTGCATGTAAATTTACATGGAATGACCGTGATCTGGACGTGCTATAATGTGCGCCACAGCAGCTCTTTTAAAAGTTGCATGGTTACGCTTGGATGGCACTGATGGTTGCATATGCTATTCTGAACAATTGACATCAAAATTTAGTTCAGGAAAAAGGCCTTCACTTTGACTTTCTGAAAGCTTCATTTAGATGGTTATACCTGAGCTCAGGTTTTCTGATGAAAAGTGTTTTTTTGTGTCACTGATCAAGTTCACAGCTGGTCAAATAGTGTGTCTTCTTTAACATTTTTGTTAAGCTTTCATCATTTCCACTATAAACTTTAATAGATGCTGGACTATTTTTCACAAACTTGTGTGTTGTTGAATTGTGCAGATGATTGAGCACATGTGGAAACCTTTAGAATCAAATATGCTTCATGTTTGCTGTTAGTGTGGACACAGATTTCTACATCTAAACATTCAGAGTTTTTACACATTCAGCCTGAGGGCCGGACTGAGAGCCGGGACAGGATTTAAAGTCATGGCTGCTGTGCATAAAGACAGCTTCACGCTCTCGGTCTTAACGGTCGCGGTAGGGGTGTGGAGGTTGTGGGATCGATGGGAATGATCTAGAATGCAGCAGAACTGAAATAAAGACCAGTGAAGGAGAAAATAGCCTCTCTGTCACCCCACCGATTGCTCTGATTGCCTGCCAACCTGCTCACTTGTGACCAGATGGCCCACCCTCCCATCAACGCCCAACTAATACCTGCAAGAGCGCCTCTTATAGACACCAATCCCCCAACCCAAACAGACCTGGCATTACAATACAGAGTCTCTTTCACAAACTGACAGCTTGTTACAAACGATCATCCTGGATTGCATTCCAGCAAAGGTTATTTTTGATGCTTGTATTGAAGTCCTGAGCCAGGACGCAGAATCAGTGCTCAGTGCTCAGCCATATTTTAAAAGGTTGGTCCAAAATTGAAAAAAAAAAAACCTGATGACGCTCATTTACTCCCCTGTGTGTTGTGTATCTATAGCTGATACTCTGACAAAGCTCCCATACATTATGTTTTACTTTACCATAAAGATTTATGTTTTCATTTCAGGTGAGTCAGGTCAGTTTTATTTATGCACTCACAGACTCAAAACTCAAGATATATTTCATTTTGAAACATATTTTGTATCCTGTTAGAAATGTTTCTGTTCCAAGTATTTCAGCTATCATTACTTAAATGCTGATTTAAAACCAGTGTACAGCTTTATTGATGGCTTTGTTTCCCCTCAACCAGCTTTAAACTCATAGTAGCTGTTTTCACATCTGCACTCCTCAAAATATCTAGATCATTTCAGGAGGACTGCTCTGGATATTCTCCCGACCTGTTCACATTATGCTCCTCACAGCTGGAGACTATCCCTGTCAGATGGGAAGGAAGTGCAGGGGGGGCCTCCAAGGTGAGGAGGTGAATCCTCCTGATTATATCCTGCTGCGTTGTCACATCAGCTCAGTCGGACTTGCTGCAGGAAAAATACTCAGGGTCTGGCAGGAAAACTCTGGGTCAAGTCTGAGTGTTCACACATATACAGCTCCTCCTGGAAATATCAGGAGTTTTTTACAAGTGTTTCAGAAAAGGGGCAATAACTTTTTGTACTGTACCTGGTCATTCTTTGAGTTTAGAGCTTCAATTGATTTGATTTCTTTATCAGGTTTAATGCCCGCCTCAGCTCAACCTCTCTGTCTGTGACTTGGTTGACCGAATACATGGGAGAAATAGCATTTCTAATGTTGCGTCCTCAATTGTTTGGCTGCAGAATGTCTCTTCAGAATAATAGGTGACATCACTGACTACATCCATGTATTATACAGTCTAAGAGAAGAACAGAAAAAATGTCTTCTGAAGGACCAAGAGATGTCTACAACAGCGAGGAACACCTCCAGTCCTTCAAATCCTGAATTACTCCTTTCCAAGTAAAATATGTCAAATTATTTGAGGAAAAGGCACAAAGGACCACCGACCTTCTGAAGACGACCACATAACTATGACTCAAATCTCTTGGTTTCTGTGATCATTCAAGCTCATGTTGTTCAAATGTTTCCAAGAAACGGACTGGTATGACAACTGAGACCCACAAATATAAGATCAAAGTGTAAAACTGAGAATATAATAGTTACAGTGGGTTTGTCTGTGTTTAAGATCTTTGCTGATAGTCGAGCAGGCGGTCTTTTCCCAAGCCGCTCTCAATATCCAACATTCATTTTAAGTGAGATCATTGCCCAGGCAATGGACCTGCTAATGAGACGTTTAATGGTTTAGTTAATCAGATATTCCTGCGTGATGCTAAACTGCAGGGCCAGGACACCGTGCCCCCCATCTGGACCAGATGCAGCAATGATGCAACCCTGAGTCAACAGGCAGACAGCTGCCTGTTTCAGTGAGTTCTACCTAAGTGTGTAAGCCTGACTACAAGCATACAGGGCAAAACAACATAGCTGTCCAATTTTCAACAGTTTGAATAATATAAACTTTTCTCTCAAACTTTTAACACCATTACAGTGTGAGCAGGGAAATGCATCACCATCACTGTTGAAGAGAGAGACTGTGAAAGTAACACATTCCATACCATGTTTGGTTTTCTGTACATGTCACAGAGACTACAAACATCCAAACAGTGTCTTCATCCCGTAGTAATATATCAACACTTGGTCTCACTTTACTCAAAAAGTTTTTTGTTCTATTTACTTTCACATGAAGTCATATATTGTTGAAAGAAAGCATGTCGGTATACACAAACCAAAAACAACCTTTGTGTGTGTTAAAACCCAGTTCCTGGGTCGTTATGTTGCTGCGCCCTCTAGTGGAGAGTTGTATAATTGCATTCAAATTGAAGTTGTGCATGTCTGAACCTTTATTGCCACTTTACAGCAACTGCTAAGTTCATGTTACTGTTTCCTTGAAGCCATACAGGGAGTGTGGACCACATGTAATTACAGATTGTTCACACTGTTAATCACTAACACAAACAAATTCATCAATGGAAGCAGCATAAGACCTGCATCTCCTGTCTTGTGTTTTCTGTGAAGTTGAATTACTGTTTTTTGCGTATGGAATCTAATCTCAAAGAAGAGATCTGCCACTGTATGAATCCTTTCTGCCATGTTGTTTCTCTCTTAACAATCTGAGCCTGTCAGCGTCAGTGTGTGCTGCAGGGATGAAACAGACATTACAGCCCCTTTCCTGCCTGTTGAACGCCTGAAGACTTGTTAGAAAAGGACCCAGGATTAAAATTAGCACAGTTACCCTTGAACAGCCAAACAGCAGAATGAGAGCAGGTCATTGATACCATCTTAATTTGCCTCCTGTGCATGAAGCTGTTGATACAGCCACAGCCAAAAATTCACCTCTCGTCATGCTGAATTCATGCCAAACGTATATTGTCTTGTCATCTCTTGTACATGTGCTTAAGGTATTTAATGTTCCATGGGTACTCACGGTCATTGCACTGTGTCCCTGTGTAGGAGGTCATGGAGCAGTCACAGGTGTAGTTCTCCCACTGCTGGAAGCAGATTCCCATGTTGGCGCAGGAGTCCTCCTGACAGGTGGTGCTGGGACCTGAGGAAGAGCATCCATCACCACAACCACACCGAGCACCCGCCCAAGCCAACACATACACACAAACACACAAACACAGAACTTGGTTTGTTCCTTTTCATACTAGGCCTCAAAGTGAACTTTTTAAATTATGTCTCTTCTGTTTGATTTTGAGAAAACAAAGCACGTATCTACGAAAATAATAGAGTAAGAGTTTGAGGTTTGACTGCAGAATAATTTGCCTGTGGAGTTTTATTGGTGTAAATTGTTGTCACACTTTAAGTTTCACTATCATGACTTGAAAACCTATTTTTTGCTCCTAAAGTGGATTTTTTTTAATACGTTGATTTTACTGTCTGCAGGATGGTTTCTGGACATGAATTTTTTTTTTTTTTTAAATGATTAAGTTAACTTTATACCAGTGGTTCCCAAACTGTGGGAGGGCCCTGAAGCTACACAAAAACACTACCTACAGTTCTGCACTGCTCGTGAAGCGAAGCCTCACGGAAAGTTCAATGTAATTTTCTTTCTTAAAGAGAGCGATTTTGCAAGAAAAATACAAAGAACATACGTCATGTTACTGAAATAACATCCTCATTATAAAACTCTAAAAAGGTAACAGCTCTTCTTTACACTCTTACTTCTTAGCATGTGGCGGTCTGACCAGGGCCCGAGAACCATCATTTTAATTAGGACAAACAAAAAATAATGAAAGAGAGAGGAGAAACTTAGAAACTTTGAAATGATAAAATCAAACAGTATAAAACACATTTTGATATCACAGCCACAAAAAATAAGTCTTAGTCACTAAATATTGGGTAATTTCTTGTTTTAAATTACCAGAAAGTCGTAGGTGAACTCTTGCATGCAGTCTAAATTGCACAAATATCTTGGCAACGTTAATTGGTGCAATTTTGACTGCACCCTCTCTCTCTCTTTGAAATCATATTAAATTGACCTTGGGGCAGAGAGTAACACCTTGGAGTAGGAGTGAAAAAGAAAAGCTGATGTTTTCATATTTTTTCAAATATATCTGCTAACACATTAATGTAAATGAATCCAAACAAAAGCAAACTGACCTATCTAACTCAAAGGAATTAAACTTGTTGAGTGGTGACTTACCTTGCAGGTTGACGCATGCTGCTCATTTAAAATAGCTGTTCAGGAACAAGTGAAATGACGATGATTTAGAGGAAGGGGGCGGAGCTTTGTAAATGAGTCGGTGATCTTCTGATCTGGTTCTATATATAAAATGTGGGATCCATGTTTCCTCTGCTGATACTGTTCTGTTAAATCTTTTTCTAGCTGTGCAGCATCACCATCTAGTGGTGGTTTTTATGTATTGCAGCAACCTGGATAGTCAATGATGGGCTTTGATACAGGCTGACTGAGAAGAGATGTTTTAGTTTAAAGGCTTACTGTGTGACTTTACTATCCTGTGAGCTCTTTGGACATATCTCAGCCCCCTCTCTACCCCAGGACTAAGCACTAACCCTGTGCCCCCCCCCCACTCAGTGTTTCACCAGCTGCGAGATGGAGAGCTGCTGATAAACATCTGCGATCAATTTCAATTGCTGATATGCATCTTAAAGGGGCTGTCTCTCTCTTTAAAAAGAGACAGAAAAGTCAGCACACAAACGTCCTTTTAGTTTCCTTTATCCAGGTAAGAAATAGCAACACAACAACGGACGCGTTTCAGCACTAGGCCTTCATCAGCGTACGCTTGTATTGCTATTTCTTACCTGGATTAAGGAAACTAAAAGGACATTTGTGTGCTGACTTTTCTGTCTCTTTTTAAAGATAGAGACAGCTTGTTACAGCTTTCAGGTTTTTTGCGGTCGTGCACCAGGAATCGTGTTTACTGTCAAGGTTGCTCCTTTTTTGCTTTTTCTGTCTCTCTCTTTCCCCCCATAGATGCAGGGCAAAAGGTTACAGAGGGAGGGGTTCATGTGGGGGGGATAAAAGAACGGAGTGAGTCCTCAGCCTGAACGCTACAAACACAGAGCTGAGAACAAGAAACCCAGGGGGAGTTTCACTTCACTCTCCCTTTAGGTTGATTAATCCACAGTAAATATTTGATTTTTGCCCTAATATTCAGGATGTCTCATATTAAGCCTTTAATGTGATGAAAGCTTGTAGTGAAATGCAAGCAGTACATGGCAACAACTCACAGCTCATCATGATCCCGCCGAGGAAAAAAAGAAATAAAGAAAAGAAACAAGCACACGTAAAAATGAGACATTCCAATGCCATGGACAAGACCAACAGACTGTGATTGATGAGCTTTTATTTTGAAAATAAATCAATCAATCATTGCTTTCTTGCAGCACATACAGTCCAGTCAATAAGAACCTTATCAACATCAGAACTGCACATAGTTCTGTACTGCACATAGTTCTGTTTACATCTGGTCACTACTGCACATAGTTATGGTTACATCTGTTTACATCTGTTAGTCCGATCACTGTCCACTTATATCTACTTTTTATATTTTCTATTTTTAAGTTAAGTTTAAGCTTTAAGTTGTACTTAAATTGACACTTTCTATTTAGGTTAAAATGTTTTGTTTACTTGCACTGTTGTTAATTTACTGCTCTGTGTGCCTTTGAATTGCCCCACGGGGACAAATAAAGTTTTTTGAATTGAATTAAATCATTCAGATTGTCAAAGCGAGGAGGACAAACAGTACACCAAAGGCTCTGTTAGGACTCAAAGAAAACCTCAGCGAACACATTTATTAATCTGACATGGAGCTCTGTAAGTGAATGTAAAAAAAACAACAACAACAACAACAACATACAGTACAATCAATGTCCGACTGAATGGTATGGCAGGCAGAAGAAAGAACAGCTGTACAGAGAATGATTTGCATGCAAACAGGAGCAGGTAGTGGAAGCTGGCCCAGAACCTTCAGAGGATGACAAAAACAACCACGAAAAAAACAAAAAATGTCCGACTTGCACAGGAAGAAATGGAAACATTTTGTCCGCACTGACATTTGCTTGATCATGCAAAATGTTTCAAAAGCCCATTCTGACACAGCTGTAAGCATGAACAATTTAGAAATGAACAAAAAACAAAACAAATGAAGTTTTTCTCAGTGAGCTGTACAGACTGTAGTCTGAGTATGGCCGGATAACGATTTCTAACACTCCTGCACTACGGTGTCATGGTCAGGTGTTGACCCTTTGCAGAACCTTTACACCAGACGGTTACATCCAGTTATAGCTTAAAGTCTGTGTAAAGCAAAAAAAATTATTTATTTAAGTTTATAATACAACAAAAGACTTTGTTGTTCACCACCAGGCCAAATTTCAGAAATGAAAAACATCACTAAGTTTATAAAACAAGGTTTTAAAATCGTGAAAAATGTAGCAGTAATCTCTGCTCTGGGATGATGTGGGAGTGTACGATGAATGCGCCAAAATGAGGCCCACTCCACTCACTTCCTCATCGTTAGATATTCTTACTTTCAGGCTGAGTTTTTCTTTAAATTCCTGCCTCCAGGGAAGATGCACTTTGCAGCGTGCAGAATGAAGAAATATCCAGCGTGCAAAACTACAGACTGAAATGTTGAAACTGTAGTTACTCAAAACTGAGCGGGAGATCTCAAGATGCTAAACGCTTGGTGCAAGGGGGGGCAGGGGTTCTGCTAAGGGACCCCAGTGCATCATCAAGCCACCTAAGTGGCCCCGCCCGCTCCCCCTTAAAAGACCTGAACCTTAAAGTGATGAAAAACTCTCTAACGGTCCTAATTTATAATTCAGTCAAACATAGTTCTCAGTCTTCTCACATGTTTACAGGAACTTTTTTACCGACATATTTAGTGTGTTTAGATATCATTTCTGATTTTGCTTTACGCAGACTTTAAAGTAAGATGCTTGTAGGTTATAACCTCGGCCCTATTTTACATCATTGAGATCCATAATGTAAAAGGTCTGCTCTGAATGTGCATAAATATTTCTCTATATTAAATTAATCCACAGAACACACCTGAGCCTGACACTAAAAGCAGGAGCTCTGTTGTACCTTCTTGGTTGGTGATATCTTTCGGTGATACGACTCTACATATTCACAAAATCCAGAAACAAATGAAAGTCTACAAAAGCACAGGAGATAAATAAAATGAAGCACCTGGCAGTAGTTCTCTGTGGCTGCACTGGCACAAACTGCTCTGAGAGTGGTTTTCACTGGGCGACCAATGTGGTCGATAAGTCGAGGGGTTTGTAGGTGAGGGGGGGGGTGTTGGATGTTTGGCCTAACTAACAGTTTGTAAGTGAGGCAACGAGGAGAGTTAATAGAAGAGAGGGGCCTCTGAGTGGATGCAGGGTGGGCGAGCTACTGTTAGCATTGAGCAGGGAGAAGGGGCTGCTGGAGTTGGAGTTGAAGTTTGCGTTGTAGTAGTTTAAATCAGGCTCGGACCTGAGGGACGGTGTACCTTCGCATCCACGCTCGATCTGTCCGCTGCGAAACAAGGCGTCACTGAGGAGATCCGGCAGACGGCCGTTGAGGTCCACCGATGCCAAGCAGCCCTGGAAGCCCTCTCTGGAGGCCACCAGCTTAGGCAGGTTACCGTACATGCCCGGTCCCAGTCCGGCGATGAACAGATCACCTGGGGAGGGGAAAACGATCGATCAATCTTTAACAGCAGCAATTCATGATGAATGTTATATCAATATATTTCACAAAAAGAGCAGGTTAGACCTTATTATTTGAGGTAATGTAAGTACTCAACAACAAATATATATAACATAGGTTTAGTCCATTTTTAATTAATATAGATATTTGGATGTAAAAATTCTACATATTATACCTTTAAATCAGACCATTGGATTTCTCAAATGTTCATATCATGAAACATAAACTAAAAGAAATAAAACAACGTTGATGAGTCATTATGAATAAAGATTAAGTGTTTTCTCTTTGAGAATATTGAATTCAGAGCAGAATGTGCTGCTGTTTATTCTCTGAATGAAGGTTGGATATTTTTAGTGTAATGGTTTAAAAAGAGTCCATTCCATCAAATGAAGAAAACATTTTGACAAACTATTGGTTCATGTTACAGCAGAAAGACTGTAAAGAAAATAAAGAATAAGATTTTCAGTGAGTCAACATCCAATGAGTCAGACTTAAAACTAGACACAGAAGAAACCATCACCTCCCAGGTGTCCTGTCCGTTTCCATTACCTTTCAGGTCGAGGTTTTTGGCCCCGTTGATGCTCTGGCTCGTTGCTATGGCGTCCACTTTCAGTGTGTGCGTGTTGCTGTTGTCTCGGGTGATGGCCACGTTGTGCCATTGGTTGTCGTTCAGCGCTCGTTCACTTTTGCCCTTGATGAGGTTTGGTCCATTTCCGAGGTCGAACACGTAGTGGATGTATCTGCAAGAGTAAAGTTAGTGAGAGTTACAGTGTGAAGAAATCTTCAACTTTCTCCCTTTTAAAAACTATCAGTGACATATTCCTCACTGGCAGTGCTGCAGATCAGAGCCTATTAACATCAGAAAACAAGATTCTGTGATCAATATCAAGTCATGATATTCATCTCGAAGTTTATTTGGTTGTTATGTTTGTCCTTTAAGGCCTTGGGTTGGTTTGGAAAGTCTGTTAGTGTCCCTTCAGTCGTACTGTTCGATTGCACCTGCAAACTTTCGTCAGTGGGCGGGGCCGTCGCTCTTTGGCTGATTTAAGTTTGTTCATTAATTCTGTTTCTCCTGTGACTTACCCTTTAACCAGTTCCACAGCGATAAAGTCATTTCCGTCTCCAGAGTTGAAGATTATGAAGCCGTCCGGAGAGGTGGTCTTGAACTGGAAGAAGAGATGCATGGACGTGTAGGCCTGCAGGGTGGCCAGGCTCAGGTAGCTGCTCTTGGATTTGAAGGTGACGGGATCCGCGATTATGGAACGAACTCCGAAGCGGGCGTTGAGCTCGCAGAAGTCAATGTCGCCGTTCTTGCACAGGTCGATGTAGAGCATGCCGTTAAATCTGAAAGGAAGGGAATTTGCTATTTCAAAATGTAAATGCATGTCTTGGACACATTTAACTCTGTTAGAAATCACACAGACAGACTGCAGCTCTGCTTCAAGGAGATTTTCCATCTGATTCAAGTGAACCAAAAGAACTTATGTGGCATTAAACTTTTCCATCTGTTGCAAAAAACGGCATCAAAAATAAGACTCTGCATTACCTGAAATGTTCCCTGATATCACTTTAGATTTTCAAATACAATTTCTTTTTTCAGTTTCTGATAAATGTCGGAGTGTTAAAATAATTCCAGTTGTCTTATTCTCTATAAAGAAATACTATCAACCTGGAACACACCTCAACGGTATGATATCATTATTTTCACGACAACAGTCAAGCCTCTCTGCCTGCGTTCAGAGGCGCTTCTAGAGTCTGTTGGGGCCCTGGGCAAAAATGCATTGGGGGCCCCTCCAACCACCATTATGTCTACAAGTGTCCGGACACTTTTTCTTCTTTCAAACCCAGACAGATTATTCCTTTTCATTTTCCTTAAGTGGTTTAATTGTAATGAAGGAATAATAATGAGGTGCTAAGCAAAGCAACGAGAGTGAGTGCTGTCATATGGGGTCCTGTAAGGGAGGTTTCCTATTTTAATTGCAAATTTTGACCATTTTGAGGTACTGCTGTGGTTTTAAGTTCGTCAGCCTTGGGGGGGGGGCCTTACTGTCCTGGGGCCCCAAGCAGTTACCTGTTGCCAAGCAGCGCCTCTGCCATGCGTTTGACATGATCAAACACCTGCTACATAACAAAATAAAAGACACCTTAGACACACAGCATAAAGAGTACCTGAGGCTCTGCAGATGGCCGATGAAGCTGGACGGGATGCTGGAAACAAATCGCCGCTCCGTCATGATTCCCGTTTCAATGTTATGGAACTCCAGGCGCGTGTGGTCACCCACCATTTGGCCTGAAGACGGGGAGGGTGGAGGGGATGGGTTGAAAAGAAACACAAAAAACGAAAAGAAAAGAGAACACTGTCTGACACTAACACAAAAGGGCTGATTTAAGGAGAAAATTACATCAACAGTATTAGATGGATGCAGGCTGTCTCTACAGATGCTGTCTCTGAATTACATACTGATAATCTGTATAGCAGCACACCACAGCATGGTGTCTTTAAACCACTGACAAGTCAACACTAAGAACATTTCTTCAAGCATGGGCCGAGGTGATGCTGGTAAGTACCTTCTGCTACATCATCGTCAACCGTTAGCTTGTAGGTTTTGCCGCGACGCACCACACGCACTGTATGCCATTCATTATCATTGAGCTTTTGCCCGGCATACAGGGTCTCCGGTCCCTTGCCTGAGAACAATGGTCAACACAAAGTTAAAGACATCCTGGAGCTAAAACCAAACCTTTGTGTCCCACCAGAAAAGCCTGAAACCGTCGGCAGAAATTACACTTAAGCTTAAGCAGCTTAAAGATATCTTTAAATGCACTTTCTTAAAGTTACACTCCAGGGGAAACAAAGGTTTGGTTTATTCAGAAATACACAAAGAAAAATACAAAATACTCTACATCTGTTATTTTCTTTTAATCAACCTGAAAGCTATGCTGCAGATCAGAGTCACTGCTGTTAGAAAACGTTGATTCAAGTGGGATAATTTGATTTAATCATCATACGCTCATCTGAATCTTTGAGTTTCACTTTTACTTTCTGACCAGAAAAATCTCCAAATTACTGATCTATTTGATAAGAAATGTTTCACAGCTATACTTTACTATCCAGATATTCAGTCTCCTATGACATGCTGAACCTTAATGTAGTTATTAAAGCTACTGTGAGGAGCTTTTTAGTGACGATGAAACAGACTAAAATTTACACTGATGCCTCTTTAGGACCCACATGAGCATACAAGACGATTATTTCTATATAGTTATTTGTATTGCCTGTATAGGCTGTTGTGGGGTAGGCATCAGACGCGGTGATTCATTGTAGATTGATTGTAAGTTACATGTTGGAATTTTAAACCAAAGATGGAAGAGAGTTCTTGTCAGACAACATGACTGACACGTGTTTAGGACAGGCTCAGCAAAGAGATTAAACAGCCAACGTCCACAGGGGTCGCCATAATCATCACTACCCAAAAATTCATCACAGGAGCTTTAAAGAGGAACCTAACTGTTGGATTTCCAGAGGTTTTTTGTTTTAGTCAGTCTTTAGGTTTAAGATAGGAATCTACACAATAAAAGTTATTTTTGCTTGTGGCTCAAATTAAAAATATAATTTAGGTTTGTCTTATAATCTTATTGTTTTAACAACTGATACGTCAGAGTAAAAGTGGTTAATAACTTAGTGAATAGCAGTAACTACTCAAACCAGTAAGCTGTCACTTTTTTTAAACTGTTATGATCACTTTTAAACATTGACTTAGTGGGCAGAGCTGCTGGTTGAAGGCAATGTAGAAAACTCTTTCACCTACATTCTCTCTAATGGCCTGCAGGGGACGCTTTATCTGGTTGTCACAATAAGTAAATTGCATAGATGGCTACGAGAAAATTAGCCTTATTGTGACTTGAATCATTGCCTCAGTAAACATTTTCCTACTGAGTATTTTAAATTAAGGCCCTTTGTAGAGTACAATAGAGGCGCACGTTATGTCACATGGCGTAGCTATCTTGTGATTGAACGAAGTCCCTATCGTAACAAGTGATCGAAAAACACCCTGTTCAGCCTTTAGTTGTAACATCAGGTACACTGATGAGTCAGCTGTTCAATTAATTCAGTGAATAGATACATTACAATTGAAGACTCCTTATCACTAGCCAAAATCCCAAACTAGCATCCCAAATTTGGTAAATTACAGATGCACCTTGCTAACCAAGCTAAGCTAATGTTAGCTGATAATTTAATTTTCTATTTCGGGATGCAGGTCGATAAGCAAAAAGTTAAGACGAAGTGGTTTTTCTCCAAATAACTACAAAAAATCTGTACTTGTTCCTTTTGACTGTGGCTATTCTTGTTGTTTCCTGTTGCATTGTGGGTAACCAAAGAAACTTATCCTTTACATCATAGACCTAAAGGAGAAGGTGGATGCCGCTGCAGGACTCATATTCTTTTAAAAAACACATTTTCCTTTTCAAACAAACAACATCAACAGAGAAAGCAAAATGAAACTTGAGTGTTAACTTACTGGAGTTACAGTTTATCCTGATACAGTCTAGATGGGGAAGAATAAATGACAGATGAAATTGCATCCTTCAAGGTTACTGCTGCAGACATCCAAAAACAAAAAGTCCACCCTTCCGGGGACGCACACATGCAGGGAGGCAGCCATTTTATTATTCAGTATTTCTGGTTAACTCTTAACACATTAACATAAAAGAAATGATTGATTTTTGAAGTTGACCAATTAATTAATATAAGAATGGATGGATTTATTGGTCATAGAAATGTGCGGCTTTTCTAGAGTTTGTGCTCTCTTATTCTCCATAGTTTCATAGTTTGAAAACTTGTTTTAACAGATTATTTACAGTAAAATGGCCACTTGTGGTACCAGCTACATGAGTACCAACCCAACACCGACAGTCTTTCAGTTTAAATATTCAGATTAGAAACGTCAAAGTCTCTGGCTCCAAAGCCTCCACACCAACAAGGCGGTGGCAGACGTCCATTTTAGAGCCACGGATCTTTGAAAAGTCAGAAAATTCAGACTGATATCATTTGAGTTGTCATTCAAATAACAAAATTAATTGAATTTGGGAGATAGACAAAGTCAATCTCATGATGCACCTGACCCACTGAGGCCAGCTGTAAGCAGTGAGGGTTGGTTTTACTATGTGACTGGTGGTTTCATGTGTCGTCAACCGCAACAGAAAAGTGGGAGCAAACAGCCGCGATCCAATCAGCACCAGCACCATGCAGAGGCACAGGAACCCCAACCAACAGATTTGGAGAGCTACATTACAGTATCCCTATGTGTGCCACTAAGTTAGATCAGAGGATAGGTCTGTTAAAATTGACACTTTTTTAGAAATGGTCTGCAGGAAATTAGGCTAAGAAATCACATTAGCGAGGACCAATTAGAGCTGGGAACATTTTAGCTGAAATCTTTGGTATAACTTTGAAGAATTAACGATATCAGTAAGAGATCAATCAAAACGGGGCTTGGCAAACCAGCTAAGGCTAAGCTTCCGTATTACTCTACTAGACATACTGAAAACGGAGGGTGTCAATTGAAAGGTACGACTGAATTTAGTGACAATCTTTATCGATTACAACTGGGAGCATTTGGGGGGTATTTGGGGTCACAGCCAGCTGCAGGTTTTGCTGGGCTCTGTTCTCGGGCTGTTCGCCTGACGGGCCGCAGGCTTAAGGCCTTTGAAGGGGTGAATACCATCTTTTGACAGCATGATGGGAAATGGAGTTTGACAGGTTTAACAAAAGCAAAACACTGAAGAAAAAAAAAGAGGCATAGACTTCCATTAACAGAAATGACAGCGTCATCAGCAAAGAAAAGAATCACTGATAAGAAACAGGAAGGTGACAGAGAAAATTCCTTGATGTCAGACGGACAAATAAGTGGCAAGAAAAGTTCTTCTAATGTCCTGTTAAATGATGGACTGGAGATCAGTTGGCATACTTAGTGAAGGTAGAAAGTCACAGCACACTTTGTTTTTTTAATAAAATTTAAAGGAGGAGACTTAAAGGCACGAATCAGTACATCAGCGAGTACGTCCAACCTGTGCTGTGACTGTCTTAAATGTTCTGTAAACAAGAATATGGACATGACTATGGGTTGTCTGTTTTCAAAGATGGGCCAAACATGTTAGCCATTAAATAAAACAAGTTATGACTGTATAGCCTTAAATATCAGAACGTAGATGTTGTATTCAGTGTGTGGTTTATCTGTGTGCTCAATCTGCACACTCATGCAAAAAGATCAGATCTGTTTTATGTGAAGTTTGTAGACTTTCAGAGGATCAAAGTGATGATTAATGAAAAGCACAAAAAGATAGACAGAGGGTGACAGGAGACGAGAGGTCACCGCTTAACGGTAAACTGTCTCATGGCGAGGGGTGGAGGGGTGGAGGGGTGGAGGCAGATGGGTGGGGTTGTGGGGTTATACGATACCTAAGTTGACCGTGAGTTTGACGCGACTCCCATCCAACTCCAGCCGGAGCGTGTCGGCTGAGTCTCGGGAGGTAGTGGCCATGAGGAGGCCGTAGGCTCGCTGGGAGCGGAATCGCAGGGAGACGTCCTCCGCCTCCGTGTGCATGATGTTGGGCATCACCACCTTCATGTACATGCTGCCGTCGTAGGAGAGGATGGAGGCTTCTGTATCAGAGAGAACAAAAAGAGATGTTAGCGGTAGTTCAAGTGAGGTTAGAGTCCAATATCATCAGTTGGAAGCTTTGTGAACATTTTGAGTTATTCATGCTAGTGGCTCTCGCAGTCACAGCAGGTTGATCACCACTTTGATCCAGACCATGGCTGAATCAACCTGCTTCAGAGATTCAAGGCAAATGTTGGATTTTTGTACCCTTATACACCCACAACTCTCACTGCATAGATTATAGTCGTCCCTCTGAAGAATTGTGCAAAATAGTGAGATAGCAAAACCGCAACTGCGATCATTTGGCTTCATCAAAACTCTTTGAGTGATGTCACTGAATATGTCCTTGTTCAACACAGTCGGTTTCAGAGCAGCTAGTGAATTAGGGAAGACTGAGCTTGAATCTGCATGACAGCGAGCTTTGACAGTGAACTGACAGATTACAGTGGTTCATTCTTAAATATGCCATCAAACCGGCTTCCAATCTCCAATGTTTTCATGCTCTGTCGAGGCGGTCTGACAATTTCAGCTGCACAAAGGGAACAGTCCTCTCAACATCAACTAAAAAAAAAAAAACACCTCTGATGACCTGGTTTCCACAGCCTCTCAATTCTTGCACTTCAGGGTCCCGCATTTGCTGCGTGGTTGGGAGTCAGAACGCTCTGATCCTCTTGTGTAGCCAACTGTGCAGAGTGCTCTGCATTTGGGTTAAAATGATTTAGGATGTAGACCAATAACAACACTGTTACAGTTATTATTCACTGTCCATCACTGCCTGAAAGAACTCTTTGCCGGCGTCAGAAGCATTTTCATTTTTCTAGTCTCCTCTGTACTGTATGTCATCCTGTCAGACAGAGTTATGTCAGGTGAGACCGGCCATCCTAAAGCTTGGCAACATTTAAAAAAATGACAACTGACAACTTGTGACTGTGATAAGGCACCAAGAAGAAGAAGTGTTGGAACAGGTGCATCATTTTGGCTGTGAGTGAACTGACCAGTGACCCACCACTGAAGTTGAAACAAGCCAACAGAAGAGAGTAAAAGTAGCAGAAAAAGTGAGGTACTATTACAAAGTCTGCTTCTCCGGCCAACAACAGCTAATCCCTGCCAAAACATGTAGTCGTACAGCGAACGCCTCATTTCTTTGGCTCCAGGAGTTTGCAGGATTAGCCATCCCACACGGCTCGTTTTAGTGCGTGTCCTCGTCTGACTGCAAAGTGTCCAAACACACACACACACACTTCTCTGTACTTTGCACTGGATGTTCCACCATGCTGTGTGAGTCTGCTGATTCTGCCCGTAGTGTGAAATAGAGCACAGTCAGAGACATGTGGATGTGTTGATAGTGGTGGGAGTGAGGAAATAACAGTGTGCTCTCGCGCGCGCACGCACGCACACACACAGTTTCTTTGCAGGAGAGAGTGTGCGTGCATTTGTGCATCTGTGGATGAAATTCACATCTCTCAAAAACTCTATCATCCAAAGATGACTGTGTGACACTGCAGAAAGCTCCAGAAAACATAAATCGGTACTTGGCTTGGGTTTTGTTTGTGAAATATATTTGTTGTGTCTGTTCACTACTTTTGCACAGTGAGTAATTATCCACACCTAAGTGTCACGTAAGGATTAGACTTCAAAGCTTTTATTGGCTATCAGTCATGCACTTCACTACATTAAAGAAAACAGACTCCTCCTCAGAAATATAAGCATGCAGATTATCTTTCTGTTATTATCTTGTCTGGTTTTTGTCTACTGATTAGTTGGGGATTTTTTGCCCAGTTTCAGTTTTTTGTTGTTAATCACCAATCACAATAATTGCTCAGTCAGGGACGGCTAGGCTAGCAGTGCTAAGCCCTACCTTTCTTACACAATTAAGATGAGAAATAAGTTACAGAAGATTATTTTACATTTTGACAGAAAATACAGTAGAGTTGCATCCGAACATAAATGAGTAAATGAGTGACAGGTATCATCGCAAGCATCTTTATTCTGCTGATTATTTGGGCTAAATTCATTCAGCCACAGGCCAACGACTTTTCACCACTGACAAGTGCTGCATCACAGACTGTAGAGATGCTCAGAAACTAACTTAGCATACTATATTTTAACTTAAAGATCCCATATTCTTTCCTTTTCACCTTTCATGTTGTCAGTCTGTGAGAAGCCTCGTCTGATTTGCAGCCAAAAAAACATTTTTTTCAATAATAGTTTCAGTAAAATCCCTAATTTAAGCCTCTGCCTGAAACGGTTAGTTTCCGCTGCTGTCTCTTTAAGGCCCCCCTCCCAACATGCCCACTTTCTTTTGATTGGCCAGCTCCCTGGAAGCTCTCGGGGACAGAACGCTGAAGGGCTGCCAGGGAAGGGCTGTTCTCCAGTGCTAGGAGGAGAGAGTCAATGTAAGATGTTTCAACTGCTTACATAAAGGCTTGAGGCACTCTTATTAAATTCTTTGGTTTCAAATGGGGGAAGTATTAGGCTTCATGATTAACTAGAACATGGTTGAGTGCTAACATTAGCATAAAGGCTAGGCTAGGTGAGGTCACTAAATATTTGTTTTACCTTATAACATAGCGCTATGCACCCTGTGGATCTTTCTTTCCTCTGTCTTGTCAGTTGCACATTAATCGACGAATGGTAAAATGATGATGATTTGTCAGATTATCTACAATTATGCAGAGTGTATACAGAGTAGAAACAGTCACTTTGACTGTATGTTATGAGCACTTTGAACTTCCCACCCTGATAATGCTAGAGGAAAAAGATTGCTGTGTAAATGTGAATTAGCTTACTTTTTATCTTCTCTTTAAGTTAAGGGGTTTTATACGCCTGTGACTTTCTCACCTCTCCTGACACTTCTCTTTCTTTCTTCCTTATTAACTGGATTTCACGCTGCTTTATGAGTGTGTAAATAAATATAATGAAAAAATGATCTTCAAAGCAAAGTGTGTGTGTTTGTTCAGTTTTGAGCGGTAGAGGCCACACTGTGTGACTCTCAACTTATAATTCTCAAGATTAAAGTCTCATTGAGATCAAAATCATCTTATTAGGTGTGATCAGACCAAGAGAGGAGCATAAACAAAACAAAAGAATCACATCAACATCAGGTCAAGTGTCTCACTCTATGAACGCTAATCAAGTTTGAGTGCATTACAAGAAAAAGGACAGAAATTCATTCTTGATTCTAGAAGAAGAACATGTACTTTATTAATCCCTCGAGGGGAAACACATGCACAAACAAGATGTCAGAGTGACGGGGCTGCTCACAGAGGACACTCCTGAGCTGGTGGAGGGATTTGGTGCCTTGCTCAAGGGCACCTCGGCAGTACTCAGGAAGTGAACTGGCACCTCTCCAGCTCCCAGACCAATTTCCAGATTTGTTCCGCACCTAGACTTGAACTGGTGACCCTCCGGTTCCCAAAGCCAGTCCCTACAGACTCAGCTACTGCCGCCCTTTCATTAAGCTTCCTTAACAGACTTTGCATAACCATACAGAATAATCAGCTGCTAGACCAGAAGACCAGATTATGGAATCAGAAGTTTTCTGGTTCCTATAACACTAGCAGCATCTCCCACTTTGGTTACAGCGGACATTGGCTGTACGCAGTCTAAATTGTAACCTAAAGAGGCAGAACTGATCTGCAGAAATGCAGTCGGCAACGCGCTGGCAGCCATCTAACGGCAATTTAGCTCTAAGTAACGTCTACAAACAGACATCTGCACGCAAGAGCAGCTAACAATTCATCAAGGTAATCCATGAAGTTGCATAAAAAGTGCCATGTGTAGTGGTGAGCACACACAGCTGGAGAGGCTCAGGTGTAATTGACTTGGAGGATCCATTGGAGGGGGGGTCTAGGTCGGTCTGGGCCCCACTTGAAATCTGATTGGCCACCCCTAAAATTACCAACCTAAATTAAATATTGGGCTGTGATGAAACAGGCTCCTTGAAGCTTTCTTTGCATTTCAGTGTGGTTTTCCGGGGACATTTTTTTTTAATTTAAAGAGTAAATTCATCAGAGCCTCTACTGTTATTAATCACAATTAGGCCAGATAATATACAGTCTGCAGACATACACAAATTAACACTAATAAGTATTATACAAAGAAGAGTGATGTTGACAAAGTCAGCTTTAAAACTAAACTGCTGGACCCACATATTTAAAGGTCTCACAGATTGTAGCCTCCAGATACACAAAAAACAATCATTCACACTCCTTCTCTCCATCCTGTAATCCTTCAGTTTATCGTCTTCATATTTCAACCCACTGCCGGCATGGAGTCTTTAAAGAGAGGCTCAATTTCATCTCAGTGTGCTAAAAGAAAACAGCTAAACTGCCTCTGCTGCTATTTCCAGACTTGACTTCTCAGAGGGGAAGGAGAGAGCAAATGTGTTTTGTCTGCTTTAAGCTCTTCTTTTCTTTAACAAAGCCTCACAAAATCTACCCTAATCTCCACATGTAGATTTTGTATTTATCTGGGTATTTTTTCCTTTCACAGTCCCGTCTCTGTTCGGCTTCATCTCGCACCCATCCTGAGCTAGAAAAAAAAAAAAAAAAAAAGTGCTGGCTACTGTTTCCCTGCGCTCCTCTGGTATCACTCAGGGGTGATTATTTGTGCTGTCACACAAACTTAATATGATAAATGGACCAATAACATGCGGAGACATTACGTGTCCTCTAAACGCCCTTTGTTGCTGCATGGAAGGGGAAACTGCAGTTCCATCAAATGACCACTGGGGGGAGACACAGCACTGTCTGCTGTGACGCTCTGCAGAAGGTAGCGTTGGAAGCATGGAAATAAACACCTTGAAACCTGATGTACCTGAGGACTTGAAATGAGAGGTGCTGTTAAAGGAACTGAACACTCAAAACTATACTCTTAAAAATATTTTCCAGTTATTAAAGTACCAATATGTAAGATATCTACTGAATTAAATCCTAAAATGACCTTACTATATCATCAGTACAAAAGATAAGCGCAACTTTTTGCGCCCCCAGGTGTTACA